AGCTTCAGAACCTACTCTGCCTGACCTGTCATCCACAGCCTGCAACCACATGCCTCAATCAGCGTCAGGACAAACTCTTGGCTGTATGGAGAAGAGAACTGCATCCAGAGAGAAGTGTATCAGCCCTGGGTCCAAGGCCAAGAGGAGAAGGACTGCTAAGCACTGCATCTCCTGGCTCCTTGCCCAGTTCTGTACAGAACTGACCTAGCCATAGCCTGGGATCCCTTCTCTGCATGCTGTTTTCCGGGATTCTTGGGTTTTCTGAAACCCTGAACAAATGGGGCTTCAATCAGAACAGAGTATCAGAACTGTATTTTACCCTAAAACATAATGGACTCTCAACTGGTCTGAAACTAAGACTTCTAAACTAAGCATGAGTATAGTGTGGAACGTGGCTGATGCCAGACATCTGTCTCCTGCCCCCACTCCTGCCCCTGGCCAGCTAATGCTGAGGCAAGGAGCCTTTCCCACCACATCACACACTTGGGAAGCTTCCTGGACACTTTGCCTTTGGTAATAGATGCAGATACCTAGTGCACCCTGGGCAGCTCTTCCTTTTCTCTGATAAAAGGTGAAATAATTGAAAACAGTGCTCTAGAAACATCTATAAATGGGTGGGCGCCAGTTGTCATTTTCCCCTCCTGCGCCCGCTTCCCCTCCCTCAACTGACTTAATGAGGATCCAAGCTGAGAAGCGATCGCTACAAACAGCTGGTAGCATCATGCCTTTAAATAGCCTCGCCACACTTCCCCCTTGGAGGCACAGTTTGCCCTGGCAGGGAAAGCCCGGGACACACAGGAAACTTGAGAATTTTCTGCAAAGTAAAGAGCTTGCCTGTCAATCATGCTCCCTGCTGTAAGGACCTTTTGTAAGGACCTTGCAGCCCCTTCCACAGGAGTGTTCCCAGGAAACACTAAACTGGGCAGCTGAATAGCTCCAGAACCTGTGAGACTCTGGTCCTGGGAGCGATGGCAGGGGACTCCTTGGAACTGTGGCTGCCAGACTCAGGCCGCTGCCTGGAGCAGCCTGCACCATCCACTCGTCAGCCATATTGGTGCCCTGATGGAGCCTAACCACAGCCTCTCCCCTGTCATGTAAGCAGAGTGACCCTGTCCACAGCCACCTTGAAGCAAGACCTACAGAGGCTGGTGGCAGCCTGTCCACTCTGGTCCTCAGACTAAGAGAGTCAGCTCTCCCCAGCTACACATCTAGACTGTTGGGAAAATAGAAACCACTGGAACATGTACAGAATGAACACCCATCGTGTCTGGCTGGCAGCCAAGGTGGCCACACTGTCCTTTGTGAGCCTCATGTCAGGACTTCTCTTGGTCCATGCAGTTTTGTTTGAGATCAGAGACTCCTCCTGCCACATCACAGTCTTTCCTTATGCATTAAGAATGTTTGATCTGGGGCTGGAGAGATGGCTCAGTGGTTAAGAGCACTGACTGCTCTTCCAGAGGACCCAGGTTCAATTCCCAGGAGCCACATGGCAATTCACAACTGTCTGTAACTCCGGTTCCAGGGGACCCTGACACCCAAGTCAAAACACCAATATAAAAATATAAATGAATGAATAATTTTTAAAAGGATGTTTGGTCTGGTGCAGCTGTGCACAGTGCTTTAAAATCAAGTATCGGAAATGGCAGTGATTTAGCCACAATATCGTCGTTGTCTCACCCACCTTTAACAGTTAGTAACCAATGTGTTTAAACCAGTCCTTGCCTACCAGTGGCTGTCATGAGCTATATCCATTAAAGCCACCATGGACAACACGCTGAACCAGATCCAAGCCAGTAAGCCCCATTTCAAAGGGGAGAGCAATGTGGCCTGTCAGGGAGGATGTGTGAATCTGGGGACCAATGCCCTACAAATGTAAGAAATGTCTGTGTGTGGAAAGCAAGAGTGTCTGACTAAATGGGAGTAAGGGTGGAAAATGGCATGTGTGAGGAAGTGGCAGTAGTCAGGTGGCAACACCCAGGGCAGACACATAGACTTGGGGCTCATATACTAAACTGTCCCTTAGTGCATGAGATAAGTTTAATAGGAATGGAAGGGTGCCTGCACTGTTTCTGAGGAGGGGGTCCTTTGTTTTCCTCAACAATACATACATTGCCTTTTACCCTTCTCCGTCTTGCTAAAAACCATTAGATTACATTCTTAAAGCAAGCACCAAAGTATTGGAGTCCAGCAATCAAAAGTCCCCTTTTGGCTGCCCTAATTAATATGTCCAAGCAAAAATTAAACACCTCATCTTAATATAGGTTTCCCCCTTTCCCCTTTATAAACTCATACCTCAAAACAAATACATACCTCAAAAAACTGAAGAATGCATTTGTTAAAAAACAAAACTAGTAGAAGCCAGATAGTGAGAACCACTGGGAGACAGGGCAAGAGTTTGGAGAACATTAAGGTCTTGATCAGGCATCATCTCTCTGCAACAGAAAGGCATGGCTGACTCGTGTCCTAAGGGAAGTGGGCCTCTGCAGCAATTTTGTTGAAAGGTAGCAAGGTTGGGACAGGAGTGTCACCAAAAACAAAGAAGAGAGTTGAGGGTGGATTTCCTACAAGGATTTAGGGAGCCATGGAAACTAAAAGCTCTGTTACAGAAGTGCAAATTGGCCAGAGTGTCTTCTAGGTCAGAATGTCCTGCAGGTGGTTGGGACTGTGGGACTGGAAATTTGGGAGGGACAAAGGGTGGGGACCAGGCTAGAGAGTACTGCCAGTGATGCAAGCCTTCAAACAACCATGAACTTGTTCTACATGAGGAGAGTGGAGAGCAGGGGAAGACCAGCTCCAAGACAAGTTGTGTCTGGGAGAGAGAGGCAGGAGATCTAAGAGGCCTAAAGTCACAGAATTACAATGAGAGAGAGAGAGAGAGAGAGAGAGACAAAGAGAGAGAGAGAGAGAGAGAGAGAGAGAGAGAGAGAGAGAGAGAGAGAGAGAGAGAGAGAGAGAGAGAGAGAGAGAGAGAGAGAGAGAGAGAGAGAGACAGAGAGAGAACACTAGCTTCTAATGCTGCAGAGATGCTGCGTGGGTACTGAAAGGGCCAGTCAGCACAGGACATACCAAGACCAAGGTCTCAGTGCAAAGGAGATTTATGTGCCCCAGAGTGACAAAGGACTGCCTCTGGATAGAGAGGAGAGGGATGTGGCCCACAGGCAAATGGCAGTTTATAAAGGGGAAAGGGGGAAACCTATATTAAGATGAGGTGTTTAATTTTTGCTTGGACATATTAATTAGGGCAGCCAAAAGGGGACTTTTGATTGCTGGACTCCAATACTTTGGTGCTTGCTTTAAGAATGTAATCTAATGGTTTTTAGCAAGACGGAGAAGGGTAAAAGGCAAAATCTGATGGTGCTATGTTTGCCATGCTCCGGCCTGTTAGAGCCTCTCTGAGAGGCCCCCACATTCAGAACAACCCAATTAGAAGAGATTCAGTGGAGTTAGAAACTGTGTTTACCCTGGACTAGAGATGACCTCCCCAGGGGCTGCTGAGTTGAGGAGCACTCTATGCCATGTCCCAGGTCCTGTGCTGGAGCTGACCAATAGCTCCCTGTGATCTCAGGAGGGCTCCGCTGTCCTCCCCTCAGGACTCAAGACACATGCACTTCTGCTCTCAGTCAGCTCCTCCACACCTAACTTGGCTCTTCTCACCTCCTGAGAGCTGGAGCCTGGAAGCCAGGCTTATTCGAACCAGGTCTTTAATAAGATGGGCTGTATGGATGGCGGCAATTCCTGAGGGCTTCTTCTACTTCTTGTTACTCTTCTGGGAAAGTGACATTACTGGGTGAGCCACCTCTGGATGCCTAAGGGTGACAGATATTACATGGGAGTGGGTCAAGGACAAGGAGGCAAGCCTGGGTAAGGAAAGGCCCACTCATGCCCCCACTTCACTCCCCCTCCCCTCCCCTCCCCTCCCTCTGTCCTCTCTCTTTCCCTCTCTCTTTCTCTCTCTTTCCCCAGTTCTCACTTTCCAACAGCTTCTGCTCCTGTTGTGTCTTCTGCAAATAACACCCACCCCAGTCTTTCAGTAACTACCTGGTAGGGTCCACAGTGCCCAAGATGTACCCAGCACCCACCTCCATCTAGATTCTGTGACTGCCTCCTCCTCTAAATGGAGGTCTCCTACATGGCAGGTTCCCCATCTGGGTCACTCCTTGCCTGGCACAGAGTAGGCTCAGCACATTCCATCTCCTGATGTGAAACGTGGCTTTCCCTCAGCAGAGTAGAAATCTGGGTGTCTTGGTCAACCATGATGGTTCATATCTATAATCCCAGCACTGAGTAAACTTAGACAGGAGGATTACTGGGAGTTAGAGGCCAGCCTGGGGTACCTAGTGAGTTCTAGGCTTGCCTCAGCTATGTAGTAAGGGCCAGGCTGGTTTGGCTACAGAGTGATACCTTGTCTAAGTGGGAAAAAAATCAGGTATCCAGAAGGCCGTATGTTCTCTCCCAGATTCTGCCTGTCTTTAGAAGGTTCTCCCAAAACCCAACCAGGAAACTAGACTACACATGTGTTTTGGAAATAAATACAAATCATAACTCATTTAGGAATCCTTATTAGACTTTTATGTTTATGAAGTCACAAATCCAACTTAGGAGAATATGACTCTGATGGTATCTTCAATCATGGAAATGACTGGGTGTCAAAACTGTGGCTGTCTCTCCTACAGCTTGGATCATCATACCCTGCCTTTCTCCTAAGAAAGGGTAGTAGATTCTCAAGGTGAGTGTCTAATAAACCCGGCAGGCGGGAAGGTCAACATGCAGGGTCATTAAATATCCTAAGAGGTAGCACAGAAGTGAACTGCATGTACCTCCCTTGGAACAATCCAGAGGGCTTTGCCTTGGAGAGAAGGAGAGTCCAACCGAGGACGCATGAACAATAAATAACAACTGTTCTGAGTTAGGTCGAAAGCTCCGCTCTGAGTAAGTTTTTTTTTTGTCCAAGCTGTTTATACTAACCACAGTTTTTTTTTTTCTCCCCTCTTTCCCACCAGGGCTTATTTCAAAACCTTTGTCCCTCAGTTCCAGGAGGCCGCATTTGCCAATGGAAAGCTCTAGGAAACAGCAGTGTTGAGAGGCAGCCAACCAGACTGCTCAGTCCACATGTGTGTCAGCACACAGGCTGCTTCCCGGAAGCCACTTGGAATGTCTTCATGGCAGCCTTTTGCTCACACAGCAGCTCTGCCTGCCCCACACAGCCCTGCCCTCCTGGAGCCCAAACTTGAGCTGACTGGTAGTACCCTGAATCCTAGCCACCCATCACTGCTGGTTGCTCCCTCTATCTTCTTTATATTTCTTGGCTGGAAGAAATAAACTCCTTTATCATGCAGAAAATTTCCAGGGAAAATAAAATGTCATGAATGCACACACCCTTCTTTCAAGTCTTTGTCCTAAAGAACTTTTAAAGTTTAAAATTTGGTTGAATTCCCTTGCCTTCTCCCAACCCCAGTCAAACTAGTGTCGAATGTGTGTGTGTGATTTATACCCCAACATTTACATTTCTAGTTGGGTTACTCTTATATTGGTGACCAAATGATTCTGAATCTATGGCGTTCAGTTGCCCACTCCACAGACCCAGAGTCAGCACTCAGTAACTCTTGGATCCCAGCACCAGGTCAGCCACCAGCTCCTATGTGGGTTCTACCCTCCCTGGCTCTCTGAGCTCATGGGATCCCCTTGGGCTGTTGTGAAAATCCATGGATTATTCTTGGTAGACAAAAGCTAGGGGTCAAGGGCTGTCACTAGTGTATGTCTGACATCTCCCCTCAGGCTGGGCAGCTCTGCAGCCAAGCAGGATCAAAGCAGGGGGAGCCAGGTAGATGGTGCAGGCTTGTCTCCCCAGCACTCGGGAGAATGGAGCCAGAAGACCACAAGTTTGAGGCTAGTCTGAGTTACCTAGAAAGACTGTTTCAGAAGCCATTGTATCTTTCCCCCGCCCATGCTTTACCACTCCCACCAGTATACAGAAGGAAGAATGGTGGCCAGGAGGCTCTGGGAACCCCAGCAAAGCAGCAATGGTGTGGGAAGGAGCAGTTAAGCTGCGCGTAGCCTCCCAGCCCTCACTAGCAGGAGGCAATCGGCTGGACCACTCAACAAGGCCTGCACACACAGTTCAGTGTAGCATGCTCCTACCCTGAAGGCAGCTTCTGGTGTACAGAAGGGCCCTGGGCAAGAGAGCCAAGAGCTGGGTAGCTGGAGGGGCTCCCTCTTGCTTTGTAAAACTGAAGTTCCTCCTGCAGGGTACATACAGTCCCGCTGGGCCTCTCACTTGCTCCCCTCTTCCTGTGGTGGCTCTTAGAGCCAGGTTTTACCACATGATCCCAGAAAGGAAGGAACTCTGAGCCCTGTTGTACCAGTCAGGGGGTACCTTTCTTCCCTGTATCCCCAGCACCAGGAATGTTCTCAAGAGGCTAGAGAGGAGCTGGGATAGATATGGGTGCTGCCCTTGGGAATTCCCAGGACAGAATAATCCTCTGTCCACATCTCGCTCTGCCACTAACTGGTTGTATGACTCAAGTCAGTCTGTAATACTAGAAGTGGGGCTAAGCCAGATGGTGGCCTCAGCTCACCAGAATCTCCCGGGGAGCTTTTCAGGAACTCCTGTTCTTGTCCCCACCATAGGACTGTAAGCAGACTCATATGACCAAGAGTGTGAGCATCTAGAGTTTAGCAGAACTCCCCAGGGAGTCTGTTCCGTGGTTCACACTGGAATCTGTTCTGGCCATTCCCGCTCTCAGGGGCAGATGTGTGCTGAGCTCCAAGACCTCCCCTAAGGCAAGTGCTTCTCAACCTTCCTAACACTGTGACCCTTTAATACAGCTCCTCATGTTGTGGTGACCCCCCAACCATAACGTTATTTTCATTGCTACTTCATAACTATAATTTTGCGACTGATATGAATCATAAATCTCTGTGTTTTCCTATGGCCTTAGGTGACCCCCGTGAAAGGGTCATTTGGCCCACAGGTTGAAAAACACTACCCATAGACACTTAGGATTATTCTAGCTACACCATAACCAAGGAGGGGCGTGCATTGGGCTTTACTGCCCACTGAGTCAAGAGCTGATGGAGCCAGGATTCCTTGGGACCCAGCAGGCACCTTGTGCTCTGAGATGAGGTGTATATATAGAGACTGGATCTCTGTCCTTCAGATAGCAGAGCCTGCAGCCTTTAGCAGCACTACAGTCTACAACTGTCCCCATCCTGCCCTTGTCAGTCTCTAGGGTTGACATGCCCAGGCTAGCCAGATGATAAATGACATCCTCACATCTGATGAGGTAGACACGGTCTGTCTAGAAAGCACTGTCACAGAGAAACCTCGGCGTAGCTTCACAGCAGACCCGTGATATAACTGAGTAGCTGGGGTTGTGTCCTGACCCACGGATGAGGAAACGATGTCAGAACCCACATAAAAAAGCTGAATGTCGGGAGGCAGAGGCAGGCAGATCTCTGTGAGTTTGAGGCCAGCCTGGTTTACAGAGCGAGTGCCAGGATAGGCTCCAAAGCTACACAGAGAAACCCTGTCTCAGAAAAACAAACAAACAAACAAACAAACAAACAAACAAACAAAAAACCTGAATGCCATGGTTTGCATCTGTAATCACAACGCTCCAATGGTGGGGTGGGAGACAGGAAAACCCTCGCCTCAAAACAAGGTGTGGGGAGAGAACAAGGTGGGGAGGGGGAGAGAGCAAGTGGGGAGGAAGAAGAGAGAGCCAGGGGGGAGAGCAAGCAGGAAGCGGGGAGAGGGGTGAGAATCAGGACCTAGGAAGTTGTCCTCTGACCTCCACACATGCTCCATGGTAAGGTTCTCTCTCTGAAACACACTTGAAAAAATATTGGCGAGGCGGGGCACAGAAATTAAGCATCTCTGCTTCATACGGATTCAAACACCAGGCTATGTGATTTTTATCCCAAGGAGTGAGGGTCCTTGCATATTTTTATAATTTGTCTGTGGCTTTGCCTGTCCATCAGGAAGCATTCATTATACCTGCTCACAGAGTGCAGCTGAGGACTAATTAGTAAATGGCTATAAAATGCTTTCAAGAAGCCAAGTGCCATAGAGGAGAGAGCATTATTACTACCTTGTAAATCCCACCTCCAGCTTACTCAGCCCTTGTAATTTAAGGCAAGCCAAACTGCTGCCATCTTTGCTGGGCCTGCTCAGGAAGATCTTCCCAGGTAGGCTTTTGTTGACAGTTGTTTCCTCTTGAAAGGAGTAGGGGGTTAGGAGGGCCATGGGCAACTTGCCACACCTCCAAACCAGTTGTATGCAATTCTTCCCTAATTGCACGGTGCACAGCCTCTCAGAAGGAGCTAGAGGGTTTAGGAAGGGAAGGATTAGGGGAGGGAACTTTCCACACAGCCATGAAGGAGTCATCATATATGCTGGGTGCAGACCTTCCATTGTGGCTGCTTTAAGATCATGAGTGCTCCTTCACCTATTGCTCGGTAAGACTGATAAACCCACTGGTCCCCTGTAGTGAACTTCGGTGGCTCACACCCTGGCTTGACCTTAGGAGGAGCGAGTAGACAGTAGAAGTTCACATCTCCCCAAGCAAGAAGTGTGTTTACTAATACTTGAGTTTGCTAATACTATCCCAAAAGAAGGGACAATAGACCATAGTTAGTCAGGGTTCCACCAACGTCCAGCAATGTGGCTTCCAAAACCCCACTGCCTACAGTGTGATGAAACCGATTTTCAGAGACCTAAACTGCAAACAGTGTGAACTTCTGGATGAGAGAGACTTCATTCAAATCCTAGGTCTGCCCACTTAGCAGCTGATATACACCTAACAACCAACTTGTGATTTAAAGAAGAGAGAAAAAAAAAAAAAAAAACAAGCACAGGGACCCTGAGTAGCATAGACTGCTTGCCAATTCCCAAGTGTAAATAACCCCACTAGAATGAGTTTCAAGCCACCCACGTGAGGCCCCCTTGGATTGGAGCTGGGCTGGGGAAGCCAGCTCCAGCCGGCATGCAGCTACTTCACTTAGGCTTTCTTACCTCACCTTTTAAAGTGGGAATCGAGCTGGGCATTGGTAGCACACGCCTTTAATCCCAGCACTGGGGGGGGGGGGGGGGGGGGAGGGGAGGCAGAGGGAACTGGGATTGACATGTAAAATAATCTTGTTTCTAATTTAAATAAAAAGTGGAGGCTACACAGAGAAACCCTGTCTCGAAAAACCAAAAAAATAAAAATAAAATATAAATAAAGTGGGAATTGACACCAGGTGCCAAGCACAGAGCTTGGCGCACAGTAGTGTTTGGTAAACAACAGCTTTTATTCCTACAGGTCAGAGAAAGGGTTTTCTGGTGTTGATGTTGGCCTTTTTCTAGAAAGTCAGAATACCCCTGTTAAAAAGTTCTGCCCATAGGCTCCAAAGCTACACAGAGAAACCCTGTCTCAAAAAACAAAAAAAAGTTCTGCCCATGAACATGGCCTTTGGAAGGGTGACCCCATCTGGATTACCAGGAAGACAAAATGATGAGTTATCCTGTGGTTTAAGGAATGAGAGTCCTTTGTGGGAACCCCCCCAATATATATTCTCTCTCTCTCTCTCTCTCTCTCTCTCTCTCTCTCTCTCTCTCTCTCTCTCTTTCTCTCTCTCTTTCTCTCCTCTCTCTCCCTCCTCTCCTCTCTCCTTTCTCTCTCTCTGTTTCTCCCTCCATCTCTCTCTCCTCTTCTTTCCCTCCTCTCTTTCCTGCTCCCTCTCCCCTTCTCTCCCCTCCCCTGTCATTCACTCACACAGACACACAGGGAGACAGGTCTTGCTTTAACTCAGCTGGACTCCTGGGCTGCCATAGAGAAATACGACCCAGTGACCCACTTCTTCCCCAGCCCCTGCTTTCCCACAGCAAAGCAATCAGAGCAAGGCAGTTCACTCTCCCTCTGACTCAGTTTCAGTTCCTGCCGACTACAGACTCTCAAGAGTCTACTTTGCCAGCACTGTGACTGGGTTTGCGTCTTGTTTGGGGTTAGAAATAGAAGCAGCCTGGGAATCTGCTCCAGTCCTAAGGACAGGCTCATCCCGCAGCTTGACACAGGAAAGTTAGGAACAGTGTTAGATACCATGTTGCTATTAATAGCATCATAATTGATTCATTGTAACTTTTACAAATGAAAACAAGAATTAGCACCTTCCATTTACCTATCTACAGTACTTGGGTACAATCCAAGAAAGTAAGAGTTAGGTGCCAACTAGAGATGGGGAGGGGGAGTCCATAGACACATACACTGTTTAGCTTCTCAGAACAATTGAATAAAACACTAAGAGTGGGGATTTAGCTCAGTGATGAAGCACTTACCTAGCCTAGCAAGGGTCTGCAATCCATCCCACTACTGTAAGGATCATAGCAGATATAGAA